AATTGTAATGTATATGTAAGAAAGAGAAGGGGGTGCAAAGATAACTTGCTGCTGCCAGGAGCCGAACCTGAGACCTTCGAATAATGTATTCGATGCCCTATCAACTGAGCTAGGGCAGCAGTCATTCCTCCGCCCACTTGATGGGGTGATAGAGTGATGACTCCATTCACCCCATCAAGTGGACGGAGGGATGACTGCTCCCATAACTCATTTGATAGAGAATCGAACGCGTTATTTGAAGGTCGCAGCTCCAGCCCCTGCCTAATTTAGGTGTGCTGCAGGGGTTAATTTTAGGCCCCTTGCTATTTTTAGTTTATATTAATGACCTTCCTAATTGTCTTACCTTCTCTAAGTGTACATGATATGCCAACGACACCACAATTTTCGAGAGTGTACACTCGCACATCAATTACTGCATAACCTCACGAGGTAACACATACACCACTCACGTAAAACCACTACAAATCTTTCAGAACCAAGCAATCTGACTGATCACGTTTAGTCCACCCACCTACAATGCTAAACAGTTGCTAGAAGAAAACAAAATTCTCGATATTGCTGCCCTTGTAAAATTTGATTTCGCTACTTTTCTTTTCAAACTTATTAATGAAGAATTCTTATATCAGTAATTCCTTCGTCATCTTTACTAAATACTAACCCAACTCGTTTCTCACATCATAACTACTTCATTCTGGCCAAAGAGAGTACTAATTATGGCAAACAGAAAGTTCACTTTGCGGCCATATCATTATGGAATACATTGCCATTTGTAATAAAAATTCAGGAAACACATAAATTTGGTCATGAATTGAAAAAGTTTTTGTTATGTGACATTCATTCTTCTACCTATCTGGTTTCTTCTTTGCCATGCAATTGTCTCTTTTTTCTTTCTCTCTCTTTATGTTATTTATATTATTGAGACATTTATTGGCGGACACTTGTCGATGATGCTTGACAGCGACAGTCAATGCGGGTACCGACTCTCTGCACGAGCTGCTCTTCTTTTTGCTAAAAGGGCGACCCACTAGAAGGCGCTGGAGAGGACGACCCACTGTTCGAAGGCTTCGCCACAACTACCCCGGGTACGAAGAGGGAGTCGCCTGGCGACCTAACAGCTGGTTACTATGAGCGGGTCGTGGTAGGCTTTGAGGCGCTCCATGTTGACAATGTAGCGCCCTCGACGGCGCATGTCCGAAGATGGTTCGACGGGTTCGATAAAGTAATTTACAGGAGAGGTGCATTCGACGACACGGTAGGGGCCTTCGTATTTGGGCAATAGTTTTGAAGATAGGCCAGCTGAAGTGGTAGGGATCATGAGCCAGACAAGCGCTCCAGGGAGGAACGTGGGCGCAGTAGTGCTTGTGTCAGCGTGAATGCCTTTTTGCCGCTCTTGATCATGCGTTGTAAAGGTCCTTGCAAGCTCTCGACACTCTTCAGCAAGCTTTGCTCTAGCAGAAATAGGTGCCCACTAGGACGGATCTGGCTTGTACGGAAGTATAGTGTCGATGGTGTGCGACGGGTGCCTTCCATATAATAAAAAGAAAGGTGAAAAGCCAGTAGTGCTTTGAGGGGCGGTGTTATATGCATAGGTGACGAAGAGTAGAATGTCATCCCAATTTGTGTGATCGGCGGCGACGTACTTGGAGAGCATGTCGCCGAGCGTACGGTTGAAGCGTTCCGTGAGGCGATTCGTCTGCGGGTGGTAAGCAGCAATTTTGAGGTGAACAACGTTGCACTCTTTGAGAATGGCTTCGACGACTTCAGACAGGAAGACGCGGCCTCGATCACTGAGCAGTTCCTGAGGTGGACCGTGTCGCAGCATGAATCGTTGGAGCAGGAAGGAGGCCACATCGCTCGCTGTAGCCGCGGGGAAAGCGGCAGTTTCGGCGTATCGCGTGAGGTGGTCCACAGCAACAATGGCCCAGCGGTTACCAGCCGACTTTAGTGGAAGTGGCCCATACAAATCGATGCCAACGCACCCAAACGGCCTGGCAGGGCAAGGTAGAGGTTGCAAACCTACCGGCGGCAGGTGCGATGAAGCTTTGCGGCGCTGACATTCTATGCAGGAGCGAACGAAATTTCTGCACGTAGCGGTACATGCCGCGCCAAAAGTACCGTTGGCGAATGTGGTCGTAAGTGTTCGATACCCCGGAGTGCGCACATTGCGGATCAGAATGAAAGAATTCGCATATGTCAGAGCGCAGACTGCGGGGTATGACTAGTAGCCACTGGCGGGCCGTCACCATTGTAATTGCGTTGGTGGAGGAGGTCGTCGCGAACGGCGAAATGGTGGGCTTGACGACGCAACGCGCGAGTGGATGGAGTGGATGGATCAGTCAGCAAGTCTATCAGTGATGCACTCCATTGATCCTTGCGCTGTTCAGTAGCAACGGCATGAATGCTAATGGAAGAAACGGCAAGGTGAGACGCTGAGTCGTGGGCATTGTCGTCAAGCAAGGGAGAGCGCGACAGGGCATCGGCGTCAGCATGTTGCCTTCCGTTGCGGTACAGCACGCGGATGTCGTAGTCTTGCAGGCGAAGTGCCCACCGGGCGAGACGACCTGAGGGATCTTTCAATGACGACAACCAGCATAGTGCGTCATGGTCGGTGACTACATCAAATGGGCGACCATACAAGTAAGGTCGGAACTTGGTTGCCAGACGATTGCCAGACACTTCTTTCTCAGTGACGGTGTAATTAGTCTCCGCTTTTGTAAGTGTACGGCTTGCATACGCCACGACATATTCTGGGAACCATGGTTTGCGCTGCTGCAAAAACAGCGCCGAGACCGACACCACTGGCATCCGTGTGTACCTCTGCAGGGGCTGTAGGGTCGTAGTGGCGGAGTATGGGAGGCGACGTCAACAAACGACGGAGCGTTGTGAATGCGTCGTTACACTGTGATGACCACGAATGGAGAGGCCCGTTACTTCCGAGGAGCTTCGTCAGCGGCGATACGATAGATGCGAAGTTTCGGATGAAGCGCCGAAAGTAGGAACACAGTCCTACGAAACTGCGAAGTTCCTTGATGGATGTCGGCTTGGGGAACTCGGTCACGGCCCGAAGCTTGGCTGGATTGGGGAGAATTTCGTCCTTGGACACGACAGTAGCCGAGTATTGTCAACTGCCGAGCTGCAAATCGGCACTTCTTTAGGTTCAGTTGCAGACTGGCGTCACTCAGACGCGTTAAAACATGCCGCAGGCGTTGAAGATGCGTGGAGATGTCCGGAGCGAAAACGACGACGTCATCGATGTAGCACAGGCACGTGTGCCATTTCAGGTCACGCAGAACGGTATCCATCATGCGCTCAAAGGTGGTGGGCGCATTGCACAGCCCAAACGGCATGACGTTGAATTCGTACAAGCCGTCGGGAGTGACAAAAGCAGTCTTCGGTCAAGCGTCCTCAGCCATAAGTACTTGCCAGTACCCTGAGCGCAAATCGAGAGATGAAAAGAATTCGGCTCCTTGTAGGCTGTCAATCGCGTCATCTACACGCGGTAGTGGGTACACGTCCTTACGAGTGATGTTGTTGAGGCGTCGGTAGTCCACACAGAACCGCACAGAACCATCCTTCTTCACGACGAGAACGACAGGTGACACCCATGGGCTGTTAGAGGGTCGAATAACATTGCTGGCGCAGCATGTCGTCCACTTGCTCGTTGATTACACGGCGTTCTGTGGGAGATACGTGATATGGACGTTGACGTAGTGGTGGTTGTGCGCCTGTGTCGATGCGATGCGTAACAGTGGATGTGTGGCCGAGAGAAGGTTGAGTGACATCGAAAGAAGAGCGGAATTCTTCCAACAGGGCCAGAAGCTGGGAGCGCTGGACCGGCGTAAGGTTGTCGGCAATGGAAAGACCGAATACATCAGCGGATGATGAAACAGATGTAGAGGCAGCACTAAGTGTATTGGAACTTCGGCAGTGCGTCTCATCAGGTTGATCCATGACTTGTGCGTCTTCGATGGGTTCCACGCTGCCGAGACATTCTCCTCGCACCAACGTAACACTGTACGGGGATGAGTTCAGAACAAAAATAGTGGTGCGGCCGTGAGTGACTTGCGTGGTCGCGAAAAGAACCAGCAAGCCTTTTCTGGTGAAAACACAATGAGATGGCGAGAGGAGTGCAGCGGTGTTGGAAAGACTTGCGCAGTAGACCGACACCGCCGCGGACGAGTTTGCAGGCACTTGCGTGTCGTCCCTGACGAGTAGCTTGCTTGCAGCAGATGGACTGTCGGCCGGCGTCAAAGAAGAGAATTGTGTTAGCTCTATTTCTGCTGGTGCGCAATGAATGACGGTGTCGTGGCCGCAGGCGGATTCCAGGGAGCGCAAAGCGCGAGTTTTGAATTACCGCAGCTATGATGAAACGTCAACCGTCGCGCACTCTAAGATATTGAATTGACGTATACCGAAATGATCAGTAAATTCTCATTGCAGACGAAGAATAGTTCGTTATATTCATTGTGAGGAAATTTTCACTTCGTTAAAATGAGCTTTTAAATACATGTGCATCTATGGGAATTTCAAGGGGTATTACAATTGCTTTGTTATATCCATTAGTTTATTATATCCCACTTAATTATAATGAGGTTTTACTGTACTTCTTGATTGATTGATATGTGGGGTTTAACATCCCACGCCATATGAATATGAGAGATGCCGTAGTGGAGGGCTTAGGAAATTTCTACCGCCTGGGGTTCTTTAACGTGCGCCCAAATCATAGCACACAGGCCTACGACATTTCCGCCTCCATCGGAAATGAAGCCGCAGCAGCCGGGATTCGATCCCGCGACCTGCAGGTCCGCAGCCGAGTACCTTAGCCACTAGACTACCACAGCGGGGCACATTGTACTTCTTGTCCACTGTATTATGAACTAATGAAACTTGATTTGATTTGATTTGACAGTTCAGGACCCTTTCAGGAAAAGAACAACAAAGGTGGTGTATACGTACTACTTTTCTAACTGTGTTATATTTTCTTGCTGTTCATGACGCAGTTGCGGCAGAAGGCCTTCCAGAATGCATACCTGAGCCGAACCACGCTGACCTTTGACCTGGGCTCTCTCGATGATCCACCATACGGTCCTGTGGCCTTGCACACTGCCTTGGAGGTTGGTGTTTGCACAGTAATTCGTGCTTGCTCTTCAGACGTAGAGCTGAAGATTTTGAAGGTGACATCAATGAAGGTGCTGTAGTAAAGCTTAGGTTTGTCTTCTCAGCTACACTTCAACCTCGATGGTGTTGACGTAAAGTACAGCCAATGAATTGGTCAAACATGTGGAACTCAAAGTGAAGAGCAAGCGCCACGCTCTTGGAGTGAATGGACACAGCAGACGCAGTCAGACCAAACCCAGACAACTCACATTTAGCTACTTTTAGAATGACGTTATTGTCAACCGAATTAGTTAACATTAATTGTGATCCACATGCTAAACAATCTTACACAATATTACACAACACTCAACCACACGACAAACACAAGAACACACGCAAGGCGGCTCCGCCAACGCTTGACTCGCCACAAGGTCCCCCGGCAGATGGCCCGCAGTGCCGTGCACCGGTGTCCCTCCGCGAGAGACAACCGTTCGTGCCAAACGCCAGCAGCCGAAAGAGACTCGCTCAATTCTCTCGTGCTGCCATCAAGGCTTGCCGCCAGGGGTTCACGCCGGTGCTACCGATCTAACCATGATGATGATAGTTGTGATCAACGCTCGCGAACATGCCACCTACCACTCAATAGTTGTGAGTCTGAAATACTGCTTCTGCGCGAGATACGTGCACAACGTGGGACAAACAACCTTACAAGGGGTGTCAGCACCCCCACAAACATAAACATTGAAGTATAAGCTCAGAGGAATGAAAACAGACAAGATGACTGCCAACATGTCGCAGAACATGCAGACAATTCACCAATTAAGGTAACGTAACTCACTGGATAGGCGCTTGAATTATACTGACCACACGTTATATAGACCCCAAACAGCTTTCAGCATTGCCAAGCTTCTCAGGTCTAGTTCACACGTTGCGATGCTGACAATGCTACAATCACTAAGAGTGGTACTGTGCCTGCTTGCCTTCATTCAAGTATTGCTTGAGGTGTGCATGCTGTTAAACAATAATATCAGTCTCGCATTACGGGAGTTTGAGTCTGCTTGTTCCTAATGCGAGTTGAACAGTGCGGGGCAGTGCTGTTGTGGACATTGTATGGAATGCCCTTTCAACACTACTAAGTAGTGCGTGCCCCCGTCGTTGAATGAAGATAGGACACTCCTTTGCAAGCAAGGCAGCCAAGCTGAGTCTATGTGGCTCTTTTTGGTTTTGTTAATTAATGTAAGCTGGCAAAACTCCATGTGCTCGGTTGGTCTCACAGATCGTCTCTTTCTCACTCTGTCTACTAGGCATTCCGAGGCAGCTACGATCCTACTTCGGTTGTCAACTACTGCCAACGCTTCTCGGACTTCCAGGCTGCTGCAAAGGTCTCACTGCTCGAAGGACAGTTTGCCCAGGTAAGAGATTTGTGTCCTTGGTTGATTGATTGATTTGTGGGGTTTAACGTCCCAAAACCACTATTTGATTATGAGAGACGCCGTAGTGGAGGGCTCCGGAAATTTCGACCACCTGGGGTTCTTTAACGTGCGCCCAAATCTGAGCACACGGGCCTACAACATTTCCGCCTCCATCGGAAATGCAGCCGCCGCAACCGGGAATCGAACCCGCGACCTGCGGGTCAGCAGCCGAGTACCTTAGCCACTAGACCACCGCGGCGGGGCATTTGTGTCCTTGGTGTCCACTTTAGTGCAACTTGATGTCATTCGCGCATTTTGCTCTGAAACAGTAGCTAAGAGCTTCAAAAGGTTTTCGGCTATATATATTGTTAGTACAGTCTCACACAAAGCATGTACGAATGTTCGAGCACTTTGAATATTCGAATGAGTATTACATTATTCAAATTCGCTTTGACGCAGATCTAAACTAAATTACTTGGAATTTCAAGGTATTTAAAATGAACAAACGTATTAAGCAGGTAGGCTTGTGCGCATAGTGAATTTTTGGTTTGAAGCGAATTCAAAGCGAATAATGATTTTGGTCGAATAATTTCAAATCGAATTTAAACAGTATGTATATCGCATATCATAAAGAAAAATGGGCTTGTTTGTCATGACCTAACAAACCTGCTCAATATTTTTCGAAATTTGAAGCGAGTCCTATGCAAATGCCCTTTTTTTGCATCAAATGAAGTGGAAACAACTTTGAATAGTTGCAGAATATGACTTTTGGTAAAATACTAGTGATAGCCTGTAAAATATGTTACATTTTAAAATTTGCTATACTTAGTGTATATTAGTCGGCATAACGAGCTTTTAAACTGAAAAATCTGAAAAAATGTTTCAATGCGAGAGTAATATCTTAATTTAACCTTGAAGTGGGGCTTCGTGGCAGTGCTGATTTCTCCTGGATGTGTGTTTTTCTGGTGCAGCATAACTTTACTGCAGTGAAATCACTTTTACAAAAGTTTAGGTTTGTGTGAATATCGAATATTCGAACGAATAATGCAGTATCCGAATTCGCTTTGAATCGAAATTAAATTATGGAAAATTTTGAATTATTTGAGAGGAACAAATGTATGCACACTAGTCTGCATGTCACATTTGTAAAGGTGGCTTCACTTCAGCACAGGGATGCTAAGCCATGAAAACATCTCTAGAAGTGAATAATAGTTTGAAAGTAACTTTTTGTAAAAGTGGTTTCACTGCAGTGAAGTGATGCTGAGCCATGAAAACATGTATTCAGAAAAAATTGACATTGCTGTTAAGCCTCACTTCAAGGTTAAATGAAGATATTACCATCAAATTGATGGAATAGAAAAACTTGATTTTTGTCCTGCAGGATGCTCTTGATACATTTCTTTTTCAGTTTAAAAGTTTATTATACCAATGTATATGCTCGAAGTATAGCAAATCTTAAAACTTGATATACTTTACAGGCTATACCAAGCATTTTACGAAAAATCATACCCTGCTACTATTCAAAATTGTTTCCACTTCCTATATTTAAAAAAAATGGCATTTGCTCAGGCCTTGTTTTCAATTTTAAAAAATATAGAGCAGGTTTGTTAGGTCATGACAAACACACCCATTTTTGTTTTGATATGCGATATACATACTGTTCGAATTCAATTTGAAGTTGTTCGACCAAAATCATTGTTCGCTTTGAATTCGCTTTGAACCAAAAATTTACTATGCGCACAAGCCTACCACTTAATACTTGTTTGTTTATTTGAATACCTTGAAATTCCAACTAACTTAGATTCGTGTCAAAGCTGAATTCGAATAATGTAATACTCGTTAGACTATTCAAAGTGCTCGAACATTTGAACATGCTTTGTGTGTAGTATTGAGACTGTACTAACAATATCAAGCCCAGAACCTTTCATTATTCGCTTCCAATTTGCTTCGAACGAAAAATTCACTATTCGCACAAGCCTACAAAAATTACATGCAAACTGTTATACGCCTGTTTAGGTGCTTTCATGGCTTAGCACCCCTTTGCTGCAGTGAAACTACTTTTACAGAGTGTAACATGTGGATTAGTAGGCATTTATTCGTTCGCCTCGAATAATTCAAAATTTTCTATAATTTAAATTTTATTCAAAGTGAATTCGAATGTTTACACACGCCTAATAAGTGACATGTAAGCTCCTTTGCAAAGGCATTTTCACTGTAGTGGAGGATTGCTTTACAGTGAATACATTAGTCCAGAAGAAATTCGCACTGTTGCAAAGCCACACTTTAAATGTTCAGTAAACATATATATTACCCTCACATCGATTCATCGTTGTTTTTTTTTAAGTTTAGAAAAAAACTTGTTATAGTGGCCTATATGCTCTAGTATAATTTCAAAACGTAATGTATTTTACAGGTTATCACTTGCATGCTACTATTTAAACTTGCTTCCAGTTCCCTTTGAAACAAAAGCAAGAATATCTGCACAGGACCTTGTTTCAATTTTACAAAGTATTGTGCAGGTTAGTTGGGTCTTCACAACTATCATGTTTTTTTTTTTGTGGGTGTGTGAAACTACCATGCGATATAGACTGCTCGAATTTGAGTTGAAATTATTTGACCGAATCACTATTCACTTTGAACCGAAAATTTAATATTTACACATGCCCCATACAGGCGACAATAAAGAAAGAAAAAAAAAAGGAGAACGGACAGGCCCATGCACCTGCAACCAACAGTGTTCTTTGTTTTTTGCAAACAAGTATATACCGTAATTACTCGTGTAATGAGCCCACCTTTTTTCAGAAAAGTTGACACCAATTAGGGGGGGGGGGGGGGGTTCATTACGTGGGATAAAAAAAAAGTCACGGGAGTTGTAACTGGGGAAATTCCGCGTGATGGCTTTGCTGGTTTTGACTTGTGAAATGCGCGACGAAGCTCTTTTTGTTTTCTCCCATAATTCGTAAGCGCACGGATCGGCGTCAAAGTGCCATCTAGCTGCTCGGTTCTTATGCTCCTGCACATGCTGTTTGTAACCAGTCATGTAGCTGGCATACCGGCGGAATATGCGTTGCACAGCAGGTGTCCCAACTGAGTTCACAACGACAAACCCGACAACAAAAGTGCGCCGTCGGATGGTGGCGCTTAAACGTTGCGGTAGACGTTGTGGATGCATGACAGGCTGTTAGCAAGGTGGGTGCGGGTGCGCTTTGCATGGCGTCCGAGATGGCAGGCGCGCAGCGTAGAAACACTCCGCAAGCCTGCCATTTCGCGGGCCACGCACTTTGTCTTTTGCTTTGTTTTTGTACCGCTGTGCTTCCATGGTGCTATCAGCAAAGAGGTTTCACCTGCATTCGACTGATGGCACTTTGCCACAAAAGGCGCAACTTTCAAATTTTGATTGATGTCGTCCATGTTCGTGCTGCTCGTAACTATTTAGCATGGTTACGAAACAATGTTCTGACTTTTATTGCACTGTTATTTTATCATATAATGGCTTGATTTAATGTTGTTTTGACCGTCCATGCCGCTGGCTATGATACCGAAATAAAATGAACAGATGCATTTAAAAAAAGTTTTTTTTTTTTAAATTTTTTTAAGGACCAAGGTGGGGGGTAGGTTCATTATGTGAGTGGGTTTATTATGTGAGTAAATACGATAAACCCATTCTAAAGAAGGGCACAAAAGTTGGGTTTGAAACATGTGCATACATCATGTGCAATCAGAATCAGTGAGATGTTGAGGTGCATTGTATGGACACAAAAAAAGCCAAAGTTTAAAACTGAACGATTTTGCTGCGTTCCGTTCACCCATTATTTTCATAATGCAGTCATGGTGGCCCAGTGGCTACAGTGCTCGGCTTCTCGCCCGGAAGACACAGGTTCGGCAACAACCATGGTGGTAACATTTTGATCAAGGCACATAGCTAGTGAACTGTGCAGTGTACTTTACGTTACAAAACCTCAGGCAGTTGAAATTATCCGGAGCACTCCACTACATTGTTTCTCATGCGCTGTATTGCAATAGGACATTAAAATCTCTAAACCAATCGTAAATTAAATTATATTTTCATTGCAATGATGATGGTTGTTGTGAAGGACTCTGCGTTATCGCATTGCCAACGAATCTTACATGGTGGTAAGGATTGGAATAAGTAGACGTGTCACAGTTGTGTGAAGAAAAAACATTGCCTGTCACCACTGGTGGAATTTTAGTCCATCTTCATGCAGCACTATGCAGTTTACTGCTGGATGCACCGAAGACGTTGCTGTATTGCACAGAAATTTGGTGCTTGGCTGATTCCCAAGGTTTTTGCATGAATGCTGGCATTTGAAAGTGGTGTTCCCATTTCTTGCAGGCATTGTAGTGAATGAAGGGGGATATTGTAGGCATTGTGTGGCTCTTGCATGCTCATCTGGATGGAACAGGTTAGGCCTAATACTCACGAAAAAAAAAAAAAGCATCATAGCACTACTATAATGCCAATGACCAGACCATTCCAGAGAAGCCTGGGTTCGATGCTAGCTCAGGCCACTGATTCATTATTTATATTTTGCTCTCATTGAGTGTGGTGGCAGCAAATGATGGTATGCCAGTAAAGGAAATGATCATCAGCATAAAGGAAGTCATTCAAAATTTGGCTTTGTCGGCTGGAACAGCTTACTGTTGTGGCAGTAAAGGTGTTGAGAGCCACAAAATTGGGATTTTGTGAGGTGGAAGAGAACTTCATATATTTGTCTGTGTTTGTGACCTTTGCCTACAGACGTTTACACACAGCATCAGGTTACTGTATATTGCCGATTATTAGTTTATGTATTTTTTTTTCATAAAATGGCCTTGCAAAGTTCGGGGGTCGACCTATACGTGGAATCGTAAAGTCGACATGGAATCATGAAATCAACTTTTTTGAGGGGTCTGACGCATGGCCCTCGTCCTCGAATTCTCTGCTATTCAACAGATTGATAACATCAGCCACAGAGGCAATGGAGTTTTGAGAACTGCTATGTCTGGACATTTTTACAATCAGCCGCGACGATCGTGAAACTATGGTACAGGAGACTCTCAGTAAACAGAACCTGAAGGGATTGGGAAAATATGATTCATTTAACAGGAATTTCGTTTACAGAGAGGTGAACATGGATGTAGAATACAAGCCCAAAACCAAGCATTGCAGAGGCAATAGTTCCGTTTAAGCAGTAGTTTCGTTTAACACATTTTCATTTACTGAGAGTCTACAGTGTAGCTATATTGGCTAGAGGAGGTGGTGTCAGCAACAGCTCGTGAAATGCAGCATTTTTTCATGACGTGTCGCCTTCAACATTAGGGTTTCAATGGTAACCCACCGCATCGGTGTGTCTGTTGGGTGAGAACAGCAACAACACCAGCACTCACCTTATGTGGGTATGACAGTGCATTTGGCTCACAAAGAAACGCAGCATGCATTTATCGCTCACAAAAAACGTGACGTTAATCGTTAACGAAAGACGTGACATGTGTTTCTCGCTTTAGTGGACAGCGTGCCCTAACAGCGCTTGCTGTCTAGAGAGTTGAAAAGTTCAGATTTCCTGCGAAGCACCATGGACGTTCCACGGAAAAGCTGAAAGCACTGTGTAGACTGGCAACACTTTGCGGGGAGCTAAACCACATAATTAGCCACATGCACTGCACAAGCGTCTTCATGTCTTTTTGCGCTCATCATGCCTGTTTGCCGTTTCTGCATTTAGCCTCACTTACAAACAGTGGTGTGCGTGATTTGCAAAGCTGCTTAAAGGACGCCAAGATTGCATAGATGCTCTGGCAACAGTACAGAGCTGCTTTCAAGCAGCAAGCAATCCTCTAAGCAGAGTCGGAAAGCAACATTGAAGCAGGGCGGACGTTCAATGTGTTGGCAAAGTGCGTGATGAAATACAGAAAACTAAGGACCAAGATCTTTGCTTGCACTTTGACACGCCGTTCCTTTCGCGAACCGAAGTCTGGACGATACCCTGTCATTGAGGAGGTAGTTTGAGATTGAGTTCACGACCAGAGAAGCAAAAGCCCGAGTGTTTGCTACGATGATATTGGAGCAAAAACACGTACTGTTGCAAAAGATATGTGAAACCTCGCTAAACGAGTGCAAACTGAGCTCTTTGAGTGAAGTGGTGCAATGGGTTGTTGATACCTGATATGGACTGCCAACCAACACTTTCCACGTGGCGGCATCTCAGTACCACCAGCACCCCTTCCAACAGCGAGCAGCTGCAGGGGTTCACATGATGGCAGTGACTGTGACTGCTACATCCTCAAGCGACAATGAGTCATAAGCATTGTTTCACAGTCAAAGATTTTTTTTACATGACTCCCTCTTCTGAAAGGTTGACTCATGTGCTGTGGTCGCAGCATGAGGCTGTGTTTCGAATCAATGCTTCTTTTTTGCCTATAAGGGGTTGCAAGTTGGAGAGTCGACTAATTGGCAATATACAATAACAGTATTAAAAGAAAGCCTTTTATATCTTAATTACTGTGTTGACCTGGGCATATTTTGTCACGCATGTGCTCGTTACCATGTGGCTGGTTTGTACAAGTGTGAAGTAGCACACTAGATCCCACAAGCAGAAGTGACCTAATTAAGAAATTTCTTCCTAGGGGGACATTGGTTTTGAATTTTTTTTACACCAAAAACTGTTGTGAAATCACAACAAAGGGGCCATAGTTGTCCACTACCGTCACCGTCACTGCTGCTGCCACCAGTGTTCATAACTACTCCCGTGCAAAACAATAATAAAAAGAGAAACATAATTAGAAAAAATATTAAGGATGGAAAAGGGTTCGACGCCGTGGCAGCCCAGTATTTTACCACTGAGCCATGTCAGCGCTCGAAATTCCAGCATACAAAATTTCTAATCAAGCATTTTGTCGGTAAGGAACCACATCAACTTACGTAATATAGCATGGAATAACAGTGGAATAACAACCAGGTAATACAGAATGCAAATTGTGTAATCAATATGAGTTGCAAAACGAGTGGTTTGTTGAATGCTTCCAATTCATTACACAGGCCTCGGCAATAATTGTGCGTCGTCATCAGCCACCGAATCACTTGATGGAGTAGCAGGTACCTCGCAAGCTTGCTTGTATTAGTAGCCACGAGAGAATTGCAATGGGTTCTAGAAATGCTGCTCTTCCAGCTTTCGCTGTGACTTTGCTGCACTTTTCACGCTGACCTGAAGTTTTTTAATTATTAATTAATTGAGATGAAACTGACTCATGTTTACTGTATTTGCTTCATTGTAATTCAACCACGATTTAATGTCATAAGTGACAGGTTAGAAGAAAGAAATAAAATAAAAATCAAAGAGTTGTGTGCTTCATTGCACTTTTTAGACAGATTGAGTGTGGGTGTTTGATCGTATCAAATTGATTTTCGCTACTTCAGGTAGCGAAGATCGGGAAAAAGCACTTTTTACACTTTAGTAAATACGGCATGTATATTTGTGTGCAAATTTCAAAAATTCAATTAATTTTGCAGTACAACGTGTAGTTTTTAAAATATCAAGCATTTCTCGTGCTTTTTTGGGATTCATAGTTTGCTTGAACTGAGAGAGTCACAAAATAACTAAGCACATCATAATGACCTTGAATGAATGCAAGAAAACCAGAATGAATGTTCTAAAGCCATTTGAACAAAAGTTACAATTTGCTAAACATTCCCAAACAAGTCTTTTCCAAGCTGGGATTTCAGTCACAAATATTTAACATACTGCATTTTTTGCTCAAAAGGGTCTAGAACATACTTGTTTTCTTGCATTTTGTGCTCATTCTAGGTCGTTACAATGAGCTTCATTACTTTGTGACTCTCTCCGTTTAGGCATACTACAGGTCCGAAAATGGCACCTGGAATTTGAGAACTATGTAATGCACTAGGAAGAACATGGTTTATTTGAAATCAGCACCCAAATATACATAAACTCAGCGAGTTTCATCTGTGAATTGACAAATAACTTTTAAAAGAGTTTTCAGGTGCTCCATGTTTTACGGACAGTGTGTGCTCTCACATGGTTTGTTGACAATGGCTGTTTGCAGGCCCTTCAGTACCAATTCCAGGCTCTGATGTTTGACCCCAAAGTAACCCGCGAGTTCCTGACGACAAATGCTGTGGAGGCCATCACCTACTACCTGGGGTGAGACAGCATTGTGGCGCAAAAGCCTCTGCAATGCCAGTGGCATTCCCCAAAAGTATTGAAAAACTGTGTAGTTTCGATTAAGTTAGTTGTAAATCCAGCAAATCACTTCTTCCACAATGGTTGCACACGCTTGCATAACAGATCACTTTGCCAATCTAGTCCATAGACCAAGCTATGTGGCTTTTTTTTAGACAATAGAGATTTTTTTAATATGAAACGTTATGATAGCTAATGTTTTGTAGGTTGTTCTATATTTTGACAAGGTGATATAGAAATTGGCTGTTGATATTGTTACGGGGATTATGGCATGTTTGTAGTTTCCATAACAATATAAACGATAAAGAATAGTATGAAACAAGTTATATCAAAAGTAAATGAGTAGTATAATGAAAAAAAAAAAAAAAGTGGGGCATACCTATATGTGCCACTGACTCATGAGAGCGGTTTCAAAGAGTGGGAAAACACTGTCCCACTGTCTCATGAAGGCACTGCCTCAAGATTGCATCAACGGGTATTTAGGGTGAGACGGCTTCGGTTGTGAAGACGAAAAGTTGCCTGGACCTCACTTCAGCAGGAGAACACCAGCTGCAGTTTCTCCACTTGTGAGCCTTGGCAGTGCTGTGGTCTTTTCCTGTAAAACTTACGTCACTACATGCACAAACCATTTTTTTTTGTCCATTTGGCTGTTTTTGCTTTTCCTGTTGAAATTGTGCCTATTTTTCAAAAGGTGTATTATATATTTCCATGCACCAATATCAGCAATTGCGCTAAGGGATGAGCAGGGCAGTATTGTTCTGATGTACTTATCGGTCGAGTTAGTGCGCAAATTTACAAAGACATGTGATAACTAAAAGCTTAAACTACCGCTCTGGAAAACCAGAAAAAAGATAAATTATCCAGAGTTTTGATTGGTCGTTTCTATCTATCTACAGAATAGAAAAATCCAGAAACTATTATAAAAAATCGACCTAAGTTCAGTGCCATTGTAACACTACATCCACCCCTCGAAAGTGTGGTAAAACAATTTTCTTCCAGACTACGAAGACTTAGGTAAGATATGAGTGAATCAGTGTTGTACTAATTGCAATGGGTGATGTGGGATAACATATTTTCATCAGATGGAAAAGTGGGACATACGTGTCCCACTGTTGCACAAAGGGTTAAACTCCTGTCACTTTTGCACATGTACTTTATGTCAAGGCTTAAATACTATTCCACAACTAAAATGACAATGACATGACTAATTAAGAAAAGCTCATTAACATTTTAACTATTGACTCGAGGGCAGTTATTATTAGAAAGCTGCAGTGCATGCCAGTTTATGGCGTACCCAGTGAGCAGAATCAGTGAGCAAATAACCAACTCAGTGAATTCACTCGATTAAGTTACTAATCTTATGAGTGCAATTTGTCATATGATCACTTGTGCATTCACTCTCATCTGATTTGATTTGCTCACTCACTCACTCTATCTGCCATTCACTCACTTAATTTCGTAAATTTATTTTTGCAGACTCATTGACAAGGAGAATAGTGAAGTCAACTTTGGCTTCTTTGAAAATGTAAGTGCACAGTTTCTACACTGGGAGCGGCTGGGGTAGTGCTACCTAGAATTAACCTGAAATAGGTAACTACACGCATTTGCTTACTAGTATTTTCTGCCTCACTACAGCACTAAACACACACAACGGATATAACACAAATGGTGACAATCATACACTGAGCATCTGTTATGTGTTTTGTGCTGTAGTGTGACCATGTCCATTTAAGTCTTTATAACGATACCATTTATAACAATATATCAGGTATAAAGATAAACAACTATGCCACTGTTAACTTTTGTATGCTTTCTATGGTAAGATAAACCGCTTAATAGAATGCTCCACTGCCGTCATATTGAATATTGCGATTGAATCCGGCGACAGTAGGCACTGAAAATCAGTCTCTGTGCTGAGGGCATGTGCCGCCATGCGCCCCCGTCCACACCCTTAGGAAGCAGGTCGACTGCGCCTACTATGAAGAAGTGAGAGGAGGTGGAGCTTTCGTTCCACACTTCCAAAACGACGCCAGGAGAGGCCTGTATATTGCTCGTAGACAAAGAGCTGCCAGAGTTGTAATCATAATTAACGAAGGTGTGTCATGTCTGGACCACTTTATGCAGATAATGTTGTGGAACTGTCAGGCGATTGTTGTGCGCATTCGCATCATGGACATCAGTGAGATTGGCAACTTTAATGACGTGGTTGAGCAGCCTACCCAGGTCCTCTCATCACTGAAGACCCATTGGATGATACAGTTGCTCTGACGCTTTGTTTTCGTAAAGGACCCCCCGCTGTGCTAGTTGGAGCACCTTAATGCTCTTGAGAAAGATGTGCCAAGCTTCAGGTAAAGCAATCAAAGCTGATAGACTATGGCTTCTTTACAAACAGTTGCTCTACCTTATTCGCATGCAGATTTGATCTCTCTTTTGTCTTTCTTCTGCCAACCCGCTTATAACAATTGTAGTGGAGCACATGCACCAGCGCGTATGCGCCTTCCGAAGAGGACAAAAAGTCTGCTCTCTTATTGTGTGAAAACCTGTGTCACCGTTGTCAGCCTTGCCATACGGAAGAGGACGAAAAGCCTGCTCTCGCACAATCGAGCTCAGGCTTTTCGTCCTGTTCATCGGTAGCAACTATTAGATTTCGTTGGCACTTGCATATGGTTATAAGTGAATTTCACTGTACCAACCAGCCGTACCCGGCACTTTATTTTCCACCTCTTATATCAAAATGTTTAAGACATTGCAAGGAAATAATGTCATTAACCATCATTGTACATAGCATTGTACAATATGTTCATTCAGTAGAAAAAATAAATCACTGTAGCTTTACATTAAGTATTCAATTCAGTGGCTTGATAATGGAGTAGTGTATAAACAGTAATTTTTAAGACTGTTTTGAATACAAGTAAAGTGGTAACAAAAGCCAATTGGACCTAATAATTGGATGTGGAATATTTTTCAGTACTTTCCCAGCAGCTGAGTTGAGCAATTTTTTTACTATGAATTATTCATAACAGTAGCATAAAGGAATAAATAGATCTTTAAAACAAATAAGTCAATTTTTTGCAGGAGATCAGTGTAGATGATCATTGTGCAGCTTGTAAAGTCTGGTGTTTTGAGTTTCCTAACATATCGCATCATGTGTTCTCTCACTTTTAATCCTCTCGGGGATAATAAAATTTCCACATTTTCCCCCTTTTGGTGCTTATTTTGATGCAATTTGTGCGGCAGCTGCATTTTCGATGAAGGCAGAAATATTGTAGGCCCATGTGCTCAGATTTAGGTGGCCCAGGTGGTCGAAATTTCCGGAGCCTTCCACTACGGCGTCTCTCATAATCATATGGTGGTTTTGGGACGTTAAACCCCACAAATCAATCAATTAATCAATCATTTTGATGCAATTTATCTTTCAAAATATTTGTAAAGTATTTGAGGAATATTTGTTCTTGTGAATTATTCTATTAGAAAAATGGATCAAATAGGAGGCTATTTGACTAAATATTGTTTTCATTATACACATATTGCTTGTTCTGAGATATCAAGTAGTGTACATTGTACTGATTATACTGGTCCATTCCACCACTTTCAGAGAGATATACTTTGAGGCACATTTGTGTCTCACAGTGATGCTTAAGAGAAATCTGATTGGTCGGTTGTATTTGGCAGCACTGATGCAAATTGGTTGACAGAGAAATGCGCAAATTGTACAACTTGACGTCATTTGTGCTTGCACATTGCAAGACCTGAAATGAATGCCGACGTGCCGAAATTATGTGCTTCACACTTCCTCTTTTCAGATGGTGAGCTTCTGGCAAGAGGAGGAACTCCCCGTGACACCACTAGAGCAACTTTTTCAGGCCAACCTTCCGGACATTGGCTACTCTCTTGGCCTGGTTTTGTTCAGGTGTGTGAGAGCTTCACTGGAACAACGCATGACTGCCACCCCTCTTGGTGGTTCCATGGTGCCTATGACTAAAATGTGCTGACACCAAAGCATTCAGCCTTTCAGCAATTCTCGGGTGTTCAACAGTCCTTGAAACTGATCACCCGAAAGTATGGTTGCTTATCTGTTGTGTAACCTTGAGTGTTACTGAGGGTCATGTTTTCCTGGATGTCAAAATAATGCTGAGGTTCAGGCAATGGTGGAAGCTTAAAGCAATAAAGACTTCTTGAACACAGGAAGTCACTGGAGCCAACACAGGTGGTGTTGTCTTCCTCAAGGCTGTAACTCAGACTTGTGGAAGACAAGACTGCTTGTTGAAACACTGGCTACAGCGACACGCCTGTTCAAGAGTTTTCTCAGAGGACACATTGTCTTTCTCGGTTTCCTGAGGGTTCTGCTGTATGAACACATGCGTGCCTTTGCATGCCACAATTGACGATAGCACAATGTTTCGCTTGCACTGCAGCAACGAGCGGGAGGTGGTGTCCCAGTTTGTGTCGCGCCTGTCGACCGGACTCTGCCTGTCGCTGGCGGCCGCCATGCGCGACCGGGTGACCTCTGGCCAACCCCACGGGGAGCTGATTGGGGTGCTGCTCGAGAAGTCCGGCACGGCCGCTCTGTCTGCTCAGATCCGACTGGTGGACGAGAGTGCTGGATGGGAGCCTGCCGTGCCACCACAGCGCCTCTGGGAGCAGCTGGTGCGCAGCCTCGGACACGGCATCCGGCGCAAGGCAGCACTCAGGGTTAGTGCACACACACTCCATCGCTACGGTTTTCCAGCAATCCAGCTGTTAGTTGTAGTATAGATGTGTTTTCAAAGCACAAAAAACAAGGGCATAGAAAACAACACAACGGGGGCACTGTTGTGTCCTTTCTTGTGTCCTTGTTTTTTGTTTTTATTTTGTTTTTTGCTGTGCAAGCGTGTCAGTTCTAAATCACTGACTAGCCCAAGCATTTATTTAATTAAGTCATTTGTTAATACTTCTAACCCTCAAGAGGGCTGTTACAGGGTGGAAGGTACAAATAGTTCTGGGTAAAATTTGCTGTAAAATTATAGTGATACTTTGCAGGGTTGATTAGAAACAACAGCAAATATATATAAAAAAGATATGCCAAGAGGATACTAAAAAATACGAACAGTGAGCAGGGTACAGTATAGACCACTTATTAATCGAACGGTTACAATGTGGTCTTTTCGGCTCCCGTTCACCCTCCCATAGAACCCCATGTACATGCATACCGCTTATTGTGCAATCGCTCAAGAAAAGGGACCGGTTATAATGCGATTGTGGGAAAATCTTTGTTACAATCACAATAGCGAGTGCACATCTGAAAGGAGGTGCACTGAGTCTGCCACTGGAGAGTGAGCGATGAGGTCGTTATGGAGAAGGGGACGCGGAGTGAACGACGAAAGGTGGAGGGAAGAAAAAAAAAAAAGACTGCGACATGCTGCTTGGGCTAGCCAAGTATCGGCAACGGATAAGTCTTTGAACCAGTGCCAACGGAATAGCGTTGCTAGCATGGCCCTGTACGCACTCGGTGCAACATGGCGTGTGTGATGCTGTGCTTATCAACAGCACTTAACAGTTTCCTGTTAGAAAAAATGTAGTCGTTGTCATGCTTGCTACAGATATCGTGTTTGCTATATTGTCTGTAAATTTAAAACATTTTACGTCTTTATGACGTGAGCTTTGGCCTTTGCGACCAGTGCGTAATCTAGCTTGGTAGGTTTTCATTGTCATTGATCTCCCAGCCGCGAACGCGAACTTGGTATCACGCGCGCTGTTCTTGGTTAAGTGCTTGATTGCGGTATTTTCGACACTGGACCCTTATGTCCTGGACAAACTTCCCGCGACAACATACCGAACGGCAAGTTAAGCCTAACCAGCATTGGTTGCGCAGTCGATCGAGAGCTATCTAAGTTGCAGTTTTGTATGGAACCAACGAAACTCTCTGCCGTGGCTGTACTTGATGGAAAGTGATACAAATTGTTAATGAAAACGAGGAAGGTATGTGTAGTGCTCAAATGGTGGTTCGCGATTCGATTGTGACGTCTTGAAATCAGGTGCTTGCCCATAAAATCGAACGATTGGCGTCTTCTCCGGACATGGTTCATTATAGCTTCTCTGTAATGCTCATAATCAAGATGGTCTCAGAAGCAGTCGGTGAATTTCCGTGACGGTACTTTCTTTTGTTAGACCCCCTCCACCTCTTTTAGCGTTGATTTTGGTGGCAACGCGTGTCTTTGGATGTTAACTCTATTTTTTATAACATTCCAAAATTTAAAAGGTTGTAAGCACCATGCATTGCATGCTTCGATTCCTGGACACGCGTGGCTATTGCTCAACATGTTCTGCGCAGTTGCGGCCCTTGAAAAAAAGTTGTTTTGGGTATAGTGGGGTACCTCTTATAGCGCAGATATTCGTGACTCCAACAACATACGTTATAAGCCGTCTATACTGTATAATGTATTGTGTTCAGAAGCAAAGGACAAGCGTAGGCAGCATCGTGAGATAGTTGAAAGCATATATGCAGAATAACAGCTACATATAGCCGCTAAATTATGCATGGAAAAGCTATTTTGCACTTTCTTCAAGTAACATTAGCAAAGAACATCTGGTGGTGAACTCAGGTAACATATTCTATTTATAGTATAGAGGAAGAAGAACAGTAAGAGAGAAGGCCAGGAGGTTAACCATACCCATGCCCGGTTTGCTACCCTACGATGGTGAATAAAAAAGGGGAGTACAGTCGAGCCCGCTTATAACGAACCTGGGCGTGACCCGGCATCTGTTCACTGTATCCCGAAGTTCGTAGTTAATGAAACATAGCTTTAAAGAAAGTTAGAGGTGAAAACACAATTTTTTTGCTCAAAGAAATTCGTGATGCACGTGTTTCCAAGAGTAGAAGCGAGAAGGATGGTCTCGAGTTTATTCAAAGGGGAAGTGTACTCTTCGGCGAGGCCGGTGGCATAGGCTGCCTGAGGCAATTAATGTAGCCACTTGCTACAAGCATGCTTGTGGGCACTGGCTCTGAAGTTTCGCCGTCCTCGCAATTTGGTTACTCCAAATTTCTCTTGCCGTGCACTTCATTCACAATGCCCTCAACCATGCTTGGTTATAAAGTGTCGGCATCATTATTGGCCGTAATGAAATCATCGCAACAGATCTCCCATACACCCTCCCATGTCAGAGTCGACAACGCGCTGCCACAAATCGCCGCCGAACTGGTCCTGTTGGGAAGCATCAGGCTCGGCTTTAGGTTCGACGTCAATGAGGTCAGCCTCGCGAAAACAGTTTCGCACACATATAGCTGTCACCTGCTGCCCACAAAGCCTTCACCATCTCCACAGCTGAATACAGGCGCACCAGAAGCGGCACGTTAGCTGCCGAGAGGTCAACTGATATGAGACAATCGCTCCACAACGTGGCATTTATAGTAAGTCTTGAATGCGCGGATTACACAAAAGCCAAGTGGTCACACTTTAACATTTTGTTGAGCAGCAGAAAAAAGCGCAGAAGGCAACCTGTCCACCATTCTGACCACACACACACACCAACAGTGAGTAAGATGCGCATGTGTGACGTAGAAGCCAAAACACAGGGAACTGCACTGGGCCCGTTTCCGGTCAGAAAACGAAACTTCTGAATTGAAGCCAGTGTAGTTGGCGGCTGATGTTGAGGAGTGATAGAGACAGGTGGAGTTGCGATAAAGAGAGAAGGGCAGATTTGCGAGAGGCATGTGAAGGAATTGCAATAGAGCGATGCATGAGTAGGGGAGCATACGGCGAAATAGCAACCTTGAACGAAAACACTTGTGAAGAAGGCAGATCGGGTAGCTTGCTTGAAAGGTCCACGAAACGTGGAACTCATGCCTGGAAAAACTTGGGAGAGTGGTCTGCACCTGCTGAGGTCAAAGCATCGCATTGTGGCGCTTGCAGACTTACGTGGCCCCGCCGACTTCGATAATTCTCTATATATTTTGTGTAAAAGCCGTTTTACGCTTTCAAGCACGTGGGGAGGGCATGCTGAGCCGAGTACAAAGTGGGTGAGAACAGGTCCTAAATAAGGAACGAATCTTGAATGATCTAAGTCGGTGGGGTAGCACAAGTGCGCGTACTGGAACGATATGACATCAATGCAGACATTCATACGATACCGATGCTGCACTATCAATCACTCCAATTAGATTTGCATATGCTTTCGTTAAAGCAACCCCCAGCCAAAGCCGACCAAGAAGCGAAAATTCACGTCAACGATGTACAGATGGAGGTCTAAATTCCATTGTAGTGTTTATTTGGTGGAGTCTTATGCTTGAGGTGTTCCATTCCAGCAGACATAGACTATGTGCCAGGTGACGAAGATACCTTGCAGCATCTGTCCCGGACAGAGAAATCGGAAGGGTGTGCTCTTCTTGGTGGGATGTGCAAGCCATGTAGTCAGCTGAATCATTGCCACTGATCCCACAATGACCAGGTAGCCACTGAAAATTGACCTCGTGGCCTGTTTCTTTGACGTGGTGATGAAGCATGACAATCTCAAAAGTGAGCTGTTCGTGTCAACCTCGTAAGAGAACTGACTGCATGCACTGTAAGGCTGCTTTCGAGTTGGAAACACAGCCCATTCGCTCAGCCTCTGGTATGGCATGTACTTCAGGGCACTGCATAGAGGCACAAGTTTTACCGCCCTTAGACGTGGTGACACATGACGCCTTGATTCGCAGGGTTATGCCTGGAGCTGGTATCGCCACTGCACCACCAAAACTAGACACTGTGGTCGAACCATCGGTGTAGATGCGCACGGGGTTACTGTAAGTTTCCTGCGAGAGTAGCAGGCTCTATTGTTTTAGTGCTGGCGAAGGTAAATTTGATTTTTGTGCAGTCCTGGAATTGAAAGACGTATTTGTGGAAGCGTCAGGCACGATGGAAGATACACCGACTTCTTCGTGGGCGTATAACCTGACGTAAACGATGCACGATGCGAACATACAATCGCATACAGGGCCTTTCAGTAGTGAGGCTCGCCAAGTGGTGAGAACCGTTCCTAGCATATTGCCTGAGGTAAGTACGTATCGTTTCAATGGTGGTATGCATTAATACCAGGTAGTCCTGCACAATGGCAATAATGGTTTCAGCCCAGGCTCTCAGGATATGCCTTAGTTTACCATTAATAGTAGTAATAGCAGTAGTTGTTGTAGTTATAGTGGTAGCAGCTTATTTACAGTAAACAGAATACAGAGCTCACTGCAAGGGCAGAGTCTAAGGGCGACCTCATAAAGGCCCCTGTTTCTCCGCAGTTCGTGACAGTGCATAAGCTTCGGCATGAGCACAGCAAAAAAATAAAGTTTCAATACATTGGTTTCAGAGAAATGGACAGCTAGAAACTTGCAAGAGCACCGAAAATTCACATGCGAACAAAATAAGAACCTTACATACTAAAGAATTAGAGGCTGCTCTCATAGGGAGAGAAAGAGAGAGAGAGAGAGAAAACCTAAGGAAAGGCAGGGAGCTTAACCAGGTTGCACTCGATTTGCTACCCAAAGTACACAACTATTATTAGTACAGCTTTACGTCAGTAAAGTGACCTAACCACATCATTCTAATGTGTCTTAAGCAACTATGACCACGTCTCATTTATAACTCAAAATGAATGACCTCACAAATTTCTGACTTAATCCAGTTGACCTTTACCAGGTTCAGGCATGTAGCACTAAGGCAAGACAACCTCTGGTTAAGAAGAATGGACTAGCTTCCAAGAGAAGGCACGCACAGATAAGCTTCGGAAGTCGTCAGGTCTAACACGGCCAGAGAAAGCGCAGGACCGGGTTGATTGGCAACACATGGGAGAGGTCTTTGCCCTTCTGTAGGCGTAGTCAGGCTGATGATGATGATAAAAAGGGGACACACCAAGTTGTGTGAAGCTTGAAACAGTGGAACAGGGCGATTCAGAAGTCTGATCTGGTTGCTTCTAGGCTTCAACTAGGTTGTTTCTAGGTTGATTTTCAGAGCAGAGAGGTATGAGTTAAACCAGAGGCAGTCACAGGCATGACATGTATGTTCAAACTCAAAAGAGAGATACCCGCACTAAAACCAAGCGTTTGTACCTCTCGTAGATTTACGAGCACGGTGTCACTAGCTTGAACCTTCCATTGCTTTGGGGTGTTCTCACAGTGGCCGTTGCCTTTCCTATTCCCCAGAACATTCTACTCTCATTACAGCGGACCTTGATAATTCAGCAAAATGAGCCCATTTTATCCAAGGTCCGCAATATCCAAACACCACGGGGGGGGGGGGGGGGTTGTGTCACAATGTGATGATTGTTTCGATTTCGCTCAGCGGTATGGGACAGCCTTGTTCTACTGGTCATAGCATATTTGACAGGATTGTTACAGAATACTTCAATTAGTGGTAGTGGTTATTAATAACTTTGCATCGCAAGTTATAATTAATGATTGAGTGCTGTTACAATAGCTGCAGAGACGCTATGTGGCCCCTGCACTGCAGCAAAGCTTAGCCCAATAACAAGGCGTTTCCAGCAGGCTTTTCCAGCCACCTCTGTTGATTGGCTTGGAATAACAAAGCTCCCAAGGGCCGAGCCTTGTTGTCCGTATTCGTCCCGCTCCATAAAATAGAAACGGAAACTGAACACTTGCACAATAAAAAACGAAAGCATCTGGATAAAAAACTCACTTTATGTGTACATCAATCAAGTATATGACAGCACAATACAAGATCACCTGTGCCGTCTGTCTTGTGCATCTCTCGATCTGTCTGTGCATGCATTCGTCCGTCCATTCGTTTGTATATCCATGCATCTGTTCATCTGTCTATGGGTCTGTCTATCTGTCTGTCCACCTGTCCGTTCGTCCATACATCTGTCCATCTTTTATACTAGTCGGCGACTTCAATGTGGACCACTAATCATCATTCAATTCATAGAGATGTGTGCATTTTTTAAATTTGTGCAGACAAGAAGGCATATATGTTTGAATGGGGCCACTGGAAGCTGTTGTTTTCGTGCAGCCTCCGCGGCTCTCTCGCTGGTACGAACTTGTCCGGAGAGTTCTGAACTGGGCAGCACCAAGGTTTTTATGGATTTGGATGGTTTCAGGCAATGAACTTAGACAAGGCTTGAAACAAGGAACAAAACATTTATAAAAAAATACACTCTAGTAAATCTATAAATATACAAAATATATTGTCACCGCACACTAACACTAGGAATAAAACAATGGCTGCGTCTCTGTGTGCTTCGCTGCAAATGTCATCAAAAGATGATAGTGTTCCGCCGGCCTTCCTTCATGCATAGCATCGCTTTTCTGTTGAAGCATAAGAAACACAAGGGTTTTAGTATTACATATCTATGTATTTTCTAGTTAAAGACCCCACCGCCTAATACTTACATATTGGTGTTGCAATTCTGATGTAATATATTCTTTTTGATTGGCTATGTTCACGACTATGAATGTAGCTACTAGTTCAAGATGGTTGGGCATTCAGCAAGTGCTTAAATTTCGGCCGGGTGGCTGAATTGTGTGACAGACAGATAGGCTGAAATTTTTGCATTCATATATACCATGAAAAACTATCGTCTTTAACATTCCCAATATCTGAATTGGCTTAATCTTTCGATAGTTCAGCAACTCTTGTCTTAACACAGCTTATCAATTGGGCCGACCTTGCTTTGCACTGCTGACTTGGCTCGACGCCGAAGTCTCCTCTGCTGCTAAACTCGTCCAATATTTCACCTTGGTTCCCAACGCCCTTCCTTACCTGGCATCTTCTCTGAAGTGTGGTGAGCCAACTCTTACCTGTACACAAGCAGACAGTCCGCTTTCCTGACTGTTAGGCCCGTTAGGCCTAACGTAGTTGTCAGCTTCCTGACCTGGAGTAGTGTCCCATTGATGACGTTGCACTCCGGAGATCGCCTTCAATGGCCTGCTGCAAAAGGGGGCTTGCCTCAGGGATGTCCATACTTGCCAGGCGTGGTAGGTGCATCCCCGAGAAGCCTTGCTCGAACGCCGGTCACACCTCGGGACACCCACGTCGTCGGTAGCAGACTGGAACGCCCGTGGCTCTCGTCCCCAATGCATCAATTGGCGATGCAACCTTTTGATTCTCAGTCCATGCGCACTATGCCCGGTTCTTTTGTTCACCTCTTTCTTGACGGCTTGGTTCATCCACCATGGGATCTCTGGAATTTCTCGAGCGTGCCTACTCAGCATGGATTATTTTAGACAGCTCCAATAGTTGATAGAGACGCTTATCTTTGTGATGTGTTTCTTTTTTATGGCTGCATTGTGGCGTCTAGGCTTGATATATGTGCGGTATTCATGTTGGGGAAGTCAGCTGGCAAGAAAGAAAATCCTCTTTCTTCCTCTGCTCCTTGCAATACCCTCCACTTCCTCACCTTCCGCTCTCTTCATGCGTGTGCTGCAGCCAAGTGCCAAACTTTTGTTATGGGTCCCTTTTATGGAAGCAAGCATTGGCCATGCAGGCTCAGGTAGATTCACTGACGCCACCAGACAGGTGACCAGGCTAGGCCACGGGCTACTGGAATGACTGTTGAGGCCGGAAAACCTTCGCAGTTATGTTCATGAGTGCTCTCATTATTCATGCCAGAGAAACTAACACCCGTTTGGAGGAATGGGCGTTTGGAGTTTCTCAATGGGTGGTGCAGCAGTGGTGATTGCAGTGTGACCAAATCTTTGCCTGATGCCAAGTGCCAATGTTCTCGTGTGATGAAGTTGGGAGTTTTTCTAGAGCTTACATCATGTAGCATATTTGGTCAAAATATACAGTTAATCTTTACCAGTGACATGCAAAATGGTCAAATGCCAAGCCCATAGGTTCACTTTTGAAAGAGGAATACCAGGAATACATTTCAAGACCAGCAGGGCCATTGCAGTTCTTGAATGGAGCTTGCTTCGTAATGACTAGTGAGGACGTAAGTGTAGTCAGTCCAGCAACTACGTTAATAAATATTTATTATGGAATGAGTTCACATTTTCTTTTTGATGTGCAATGTAAGGGTCTCAATCTATATCCGAGATGACATACAATCAAGTAAATACATTATTCAGTGCATGTATAGAAGAGGCGGTATTCATTCCTTTAATTTGTGCATGCAGCTCTCGGCCCCCGAAGTGGAGCGGCTCACACAGACGCTGCTTGCCGAACAGTCCGCGAAGGCTGGCACCTCCCCGACCGATAAGTTGGCTGGCAATGCCCTGGTCTTCTCGTGTGGCCACAACACGACGGCCACGGCGTTCCACGAGACAGCCATGCCGGAGCTGGAAGACTCCCTACTGAGGCGACTGCAGCGACCCCTGCCTCTGACGGCCAAGCTGCTCACTCGCGGCTATGCCATGCCTGGGGTGATTCCATTTGCATGTCCTCGATGCGTCGTCAACGAGATACGTGCCAACTGGTGAATTGACAAGAAATTCTGACAGGGCGTTGCTGCACCTTTGGGACAATGTGTGCACCATACTTTCCAGGAATTTGGCGACGTGTTGTCTTCCTATTATATTGTCAGAATAAGTGTGTACTGAATTCGAGGTGTCTCTTCATTTTGTTGAACCCTACCAATAACTGAGAATCCTTGTCTATCTCCTAAGGAACGCAGCGAGACTGTTTGCATCACTTAGTGTCAAAAAGTGCTGTAGGCAAAAAAAAAAAAAACGGTTCCCCTCATTTAAACAGTTGGTTTAGCCTGATGAATAACTCAGTTGACCATTGTGGGCCACTTGACATTCCACGTTTTTTATAATCTAATAAAAACCAGAGAAAAACATTGTTTGCATCGCTATTAGTGCAAGCAGTAGCATTCAAATGCATTTGTCACTGACCAACAAAAAATGCAGAACTCCCCAAGTTCACCACATCTGACAATTTTGTGGTGGAGGTTGTGTTCCTTTGATAGTAAAGTGCATCACTTCTTATTTGAGCTTCATGTGAACAGGAGAGAAGTCTGGCTGTCTCGATGGCACTTAATTCGTACTTCCCGTGCTCATGGGGCAGAACAAAGCAAAAGAATCGTGGATATTGCTTCAATAATGAATGCATAAAAGATGCTGCATGCTGCCACATTAATGAAGTGCTAATTTCTCTGAGCAGTGTGTCAGTGGTGCTTACTTAATCAGCTTCTGGTGAAGCCATGTGTTTATGACAGCCAGTGTTCATTGCAAATGCTTTGCACGAGCATGCAATAACTTTTTGACTGTGATGTTCTTAAATAGCGTGGGTGGTTTTCGATGAGACGAGAGAAAAAACACTCTTTCCCATAACTTTTTTTGACATTCTTTAAGGAGACCAGTGAACAAGGTTAAGGCTTTTGTGGGGCTTCGAGTTTAATTTATGGTAAGGAGGTCATCATACAAGTAACTTTTTTGCTGAAACTTAACAATGAGCCCAAATCTCGTGTGTTGCTCCATTTGTAAGATGAATTCATTGGGATTTGTGGGCAAGTCTATCTTGCAACGGGTTTCTGTGAACCACTGAAGGTGCTTAGCAGTCATATTATTGGTGCCAGAAGGCTAGGCTCTCTCCCAGGTGAGCACTTCTGTGCATGGCCTCAGTACCTAGTACAGTATGAGAGAAAGCAGCTCTGTTTGCACTCAAAAGGTCATCACAGTGGCTCTCTGCTAAACATAAATGTCTTGTGACATTTGTCAACACTAGTCAGCAGGAAAGTTGCAATGTGCGTGTTAACGTGTCAACATTAAAACCATGAAGTTACAAGCAACAATTGCTCAAAAACTCTCTGCCTTGCTGCTTACACCTGTTCTGAAGTGGTGGAGCAGGATATTGAAGTTATACCAACTGATTTCGTAGTACAACTCAAAAATTCAAAGCTTAGGTTTGGTTAACTTAAGTTGTGTTTAAATTAGGTTCAGTCAGAACCTAACCTAACCAAACATAACCTAACATATCCCAAAATACTAACTTAACAAAGGGGACAGCTGCCCTTAGTTAGTATTTTTCTTTGCTGCATGGCTCGTTGCACCCTAAAATACTGTTGAGCAAGTGTAATGATACTGAGATGAGAAGAATGACAGATGCACTGCTCATTTCACACTCATTTCACAGACACTTGCGAGGGGCAAATTCTTCGTAACTAACAGCTCGAAAAACACAAACGAAGGCGTGTAGTGGGCCCGGCACAGCGTTCACTTTCAACTGAACTTTTATTGAAAAATGATAACATATGCAACAGATCAACAGAACACCTCATGTTCCCCAATTAACAAATAAATTACACTGCATACCCAAGCACGGTCAGGTGAACGTATATACTGTAAGGATTAATATGAGTAAAAAGGGAGTAACAAAAACGTAACCAATAAAACCCAGCACGAGATCCCAAATTACCTTCGTCCACTGTCTAATATGAAAACTTCATTATTCAGTAAAGCAATGGGTGGTTGACTGACACATGGAGATCCTTTCTTGTTTATCATAAATGACTCCGTAATATTTCTTGATAGCTTGTCTGGGTGCATGAAGAGCATGTTTGCTTTATCATAAAAATTCACTTGGAATCTCAGCGCTGTGCCGTGTCTTCTTCTCTGTTTTTCGCCCTGTTAGCCATCATTAATCTGCTCCAACTTGGCCAGTTTTCCATCTTGCTTAAACGGTGTCATTTTAATTCAATGCAGAGTACAAATGTCAATGACTTTAGGCGAGTGCATTTGAACACCCAGTGAGTGCGAGTGGGTGTTAGCGACCGTAGAAGAAGTTGCACAGAATGGGAACGAGTTTTGGCGAGTACGAATGGGCACAACTAAGAGCGTGAGTGAGTCTCGATTTGTTTGCGCTCATATAACTCCTTCGCATTGAGGTGTGTACACTGGATGAAGAAAATGTGTAGCTTATAGAAGTGAATACCCCTCGTTCTGTCAACCTGTGTTTTCTAGTCCCTTCAGTTCCTTGTAACTATGTTATTTTCAGCGCCAGTATATCTGAACAAGGTGTGGAACTTTTCTGCTGCTATCGGTTTGATGCATGCTTAAATGTACATAGAAATAACATATTGTAGCAGCAGTAGTGTGACACACTTATGTAATGTTGGTGCTGAAAACAAAGGTAACCTAATGCAGAACTATTCGAGTGCTATCTAGGCTTGTACGAATATTCGAATGCTTCGAATATTCGGACTAATACTATGGTATGCGAATTCGCTTCGACTGAAATTGAAATTGTTGAAAATTTCTCGAAATGAATGAATAAGTGTATACTAAACTGCATGTAAATTACTGTAAAGGTGGTTTTACTGCACTGTTGTTCCAAGCTGTGAAAGCACCTTTGGAGGGGAAATCCGCGCAGTGCCACTGTTCGAAGCCTTACTTGATGGTTAAATGAACACCACACTTTCACATTGATTCGTCATTCTTAAAGTTTAATGGCTTGTTATACCGGTTTATATGCTGTAAATATAGTAAATTTTAAAAGGAATGTAAGTCGCAGGTTATCGTTTGCATTCTACAGGAAGTCAAATCCTTTCAAAGTTGTTTGATATTCCTTTGGGCTGAAAAAATGGCATTTTCACAAACCTTGTCTCAATTTTTTTAAAATACTGCGCAGGTTTTTAGGTCATAACAAATATGCCCATTTCACTTTTTAATATGTGATATATACTATATTTGAATTCGATTCAAAATTATTTGACCAAAATCACTATTCGTTTTGAATTCCCTGCAGACCTAAAATTCGCTATTCGCACAAGCCCAGTGCTATTCCTTGCCTTTTAATTTGTGCGCATACAATTTGTGCGTACACGTCTGCTTTGTAAATACTTGTTGCAGGACTCTTATAGCTAGTACACTGCGCAGTGTTATGGATATCTTAGCAGCCATGTCAGCAACAGTGCAGTGCGCATCGTTGCGGCATGGCGTTAGCAAGGATACGTTTATGTGTGAATGAGGACATGCAAGCTGTAGAATGGTCTTCTCAGTGAGAAGATGCAGCAGAGATTAGAGTTCGAAATTCGTAACGAGCGTTGCTGCTTAGATACTGTTATTGGGAAGACATGGAGGACAAAGCTTATTTGAAAAAGGTGTTTAGTGGCCAAGCCGGGATGTTCTCTATACTGTAGTGCTTGTTTTTTCTCTCGACTTCAATGGTAGATCTAATTCAACAGGCCTGAAGAATTGAAGGTTCAAATCTTGTTATAATGAAAGCCATGTTGTCACCTTGGCAGTGTAATATTCGCAGCACTTATTTTTTTTTTTGCTTTGCCCCTTAACCACTTGGCTCATCCTTGCTGAACTATGGCCAAACCATTGTCAACGAGTGTGGCTCATCTGTTTGAGACGACACCTCCCCATGAGCGTTTTGAATGAGACTTGCCCATTTCCAGATGTCGCTACACAGGTGGCAGCATTTGCTTGTTTTATTTTAATTTCAATTTCACATTTTTTGTGACTTGTGTTTGAAAATGTTGTCCAGCAAAGGAGATGTGTGTGTTCTTTGTGCATCATCACGCAAAAGAAGACTTTCATCACCATACAGGTTATCAGGTGCCATTCAAATACCTAAGTTTGCTTTGATGACTTGACGTACTATATGTGCCTGTTTCTGGAGGGTGGAGTAGACCATGGGACAATAAACTTTGTTATGATACTTTGAGTTGATATATGCTTGAATTTTTTAGTCAATTAACACATGCTTTCTAGAAGCAAAAGATTCACTATCAAAATGAAAAAAATAATAAACATTTTCACGGCAAAAAGATCTCTCAAAACATAAAATAGTTGAGGGGCTAATGAAGTAGAGATGCTTAAAACCAATCAGAGTGAATGTTGCTGGCTGGAACATGCCACTCAAATGAGCATTTTTAGTGTCTCTTGTATATTAAATGCCCCTTCACACTGATCTTTGCACTGATTAAGGTGAAGCTTAAGGCAAAAATTAAGTCAGTTAATAGTGTTTGATTGTTTTTATAAAACATGCTTGAATAAAACATGCTAGGGATATGGCATAGTTTGTTAAAAAAGAGACTCAGACTGATTAGAGACCGTTCAGTTCCTTTAGAATTTTTTTGATTCAGACACTTGAACAAATATGGCTGATGTGTAATTGTGAACATCTCATGACACCACATAAATCGAGGGATGAACACGCAAGAAACAAGCTCAGCACTGTTTTCTGACCGGTTTGTGACAGGGTACACTTTCATAGTTGACATAGCACAGAGTGAACTGTTTATACCTCATGATCTATATCAGAGAGGGTGCACTAGTTTCCGAATGCCGCTTTGACTGGTTTGTACAGCTATGACCTTCTTTGTTCAAAATCTTTCTGACTTCCTACACATATACACTTTGCTTGCCTGTTAACAACTTAAGGGGGCAGACTGGTTTTAGACATATTTTTGTTCCTTTCTTCAGTGATCTTGATCAAAATGAACTATTCATTTTCAAAAGCAGTTGGAATTGTGCTGTAATTTTGATGAGTAATTAATTAAAAACGCTTGTGCTCTGAATTCTGCTCTTATACTTGCATTCTACACACATACAGGTTTCCATTGCAAAAAGAATTATTGTTGTATACCTGCCCTAGCTTCAGAGATATTCAGGCCCCAAAATTGAACAGTCGTAAATGTACTTTTTTAAGAAAAATGGAAACACACTGAAAACACACAGTTCTTCAAAAAGCAACAATCATGATGCGCATGTTTTGCAATCCTCATAAAGGTGCTCATAAATTCGTAGCAGAGCTTCTAACGCTGGTGCTGGCAAATTATAAAGAAGCCTCGGAAGTCGGTTCCTCATTTTTTGCAGGTTCTGTATGTTAACAGCACCAAGAACCTGGACAGTTAGAATGACATTACAAAAAAATTACCACTTCCTGGAGTGGGAAAATTTGCAGAGAACTAAAACAATACTTGCAGAAACCGAACATGCCAATTAAAAAAAAGTAATTATTTTTGTCACTTTTTGGTTCCAAAGACCAGTCTTCCCCCTTCAGTAACGTGATCTAGGGATATAGCTTAACTTAGTTTCCCTGTTTAACACTTCTTCATGTGCACATTTATGACACAAGCATTACAGGCACAACTGGTATTACTCTAGAGTGATTATTTTACATAGTACAAAGCCTCTGTCAATCTTCTCGTAAAGTGGCCGTGGAGCACTTTTCTAAGGAGCCGTGGAATGAATCCACTAAAAGAGCTTATTTCTTCACAAATTGACCACCGCAGAAATTTTCAGAATTCATCCAGCACACAAAGATTACAAGGATTTGTCGCACGCTTTTATTGCATTCTCTCTTCTCTCATCCCAACGGATGTGCTGGAAGCTAAGCAGAAAGGGATGACATGGGGTAAGAAAATGCGTCACATGCACCTCGTGACCAAGAGCCCTTTTCTCTCTCTTTCTTTTTTCATCAAATGTGCGGCTTTTCAGTGCAGCTTCAATCACAGCCCCCCCCCACCGTGTCCTCAGTAACAACCGAACGCGCCATGCCTAAATCAGCCAATGGCTGGTACTAGGCCTGGGATGTAGTGATTTTGAGCCTGTAGCGTCATCTGTCGAAGGAAGAGAAAGTTATTTTTAGCTGACGTTGAGAATTTATTGTAAATTTCAGGCCACATGCTGTGCTATAATATTTGACATGCGTGTCGGGAGCCTCGACTGCCAAATGGCAGCGTTTTCTGACCATGCTCAAAACGTCTTGCAGGGCCATAATTATTGCTGACCTCTTGCAACAAGCTGAGCGACAAAATGATTATGTGTGGAAGTTATCATGCAGTCATGTATAAGTGCTCCCTCTGTAAGTCATGTCCTTCTAAATATCTTAGAAAGGAGTAGAGTACAGAATGTCTGTGGTGAAGAAATAATGTGGGGCAAACTTGATGTGATGCCATGTGCAGCCTTTGTTAAAAGTACACGGACCGCTTAAAATTTCACCTGTCATAATAGCTGAGCATGTTGGATGCCACGCTGCAGTGACTGCATTTCGATGAAAGCAAAACACAAGAACACGGCCATACCTTCATTTTGCGCATGCCAAAACAAAATAACAATAAATATAAAAATTAAGGAAGAGTTCTATGCTACACCATGGCTCATAATTATATTGTGCTTTTGGTGTAATTTACAGTAATTTTACACTGAACTTTCACTTCGTACGTTGCTCAGATTGTGTGCTGTGATTCTCAACACTGCAGACATCTGAATAACGAGTACGAGTTTTTTCCATTCTTCGAGGTGCTGAAATTGTTGGTAGTCTGCAAGAACTCGTTCAAACAATGTCTGTTCTAGTATGGCGGTCATAACAAACATATTACCTATACTCTACTTTGTCAACTGCACTTCTTTCGAAGCTTGTAATACGTATTCATTTGTAGAAACTGAGCTCTCTCTCTCTCTGTTCATCCAACCAGCATTTGGTCCTTCCGTTCATTGAGAGTGGCACCAATGAACCACATCTGTATAGTTGTACATAGAACTAAAGGAGCTGAACTATTAGACTGTAACTGTGATTTACCACTGATTACTGCATGGCTTGGATGAGAAGGAACATAAACTGAAAGTGTATTATTTCTTTTGTGTGCTTTGCTAACATCTACAGTGTGTAGAGACTGTGACCTGTAAACGAGCAATGAAATACTATATATGTATTCACGTTTTCATGAAGTGATTGTTGTTTTGTGGCGTATAAAGCACTGGTAATACTTGAAGTGCTCAGGTCTGTGAAACACAGTTCTTTAAGTGAAAATTATAGTATTTAATGGGTCCATTGCAATCACATTCCTGCAAAGCATTCTTAACTGCTTTGCATGGTATTGTTTGGCCTGGCATTAAAAAAAAAGCAAAACAAGCTACAGCCTAGTCACGCAAAAGCTTTCGAGCTCAAAGGCCTTTATTGACTATGTTGTTGTCTTTTTGAAGTTGTAAATGTAAGAGACTGAATGTGCAGTGTTACCGGCAATGTGAGAATAAAAAAGCAGCATTTTGGGAACGGTGTGTTTCTGTAGGACACAAGCACTACACTTGCAATGTCGAGTTATGTGTTTGCACTACAACCATGTGTTTTTATAATGCAGAACTCATTAGAGATAAAAGGGATTTTAAAAAAGTGCTAAGGTCTTACAGTTTTGTGTTGGTGGTGTGTGTTCTAAGAGAATTTGATCACGAGATAGGTAACGACAGCCTTGATATTTCACATTTTGAAGTTATAGCTTAACACACGATGAAAACTAATAAATATATTGATGCTAGAAATAAATGCACATTTTCGTTCCCTGCATTCATTATCTTTTGTTTTCGAAGCTGTAAGAATATCTTAAAGAGCAAAAAAAAAAAAAACTTTGGAGAGTTTTTATGCACAATTACTGTAAAAAGTCATAAACAGTGATATAAAATTGTTTGGCACCCAGTTGCCTAAGAATGAATATTGTGTCCTATAGTATCTGTAACTTGGCAGTTTCTTTTTGTGTTTCTTAGTGTTAAAGACATAGAGCCCTAAGAGCGCCAATTTCAGCTATGCTTGCCATGGCAAAATTCTGTACCGATGAGAATGATGTAGCAAGTACCCCAGCAGCATGCATTGTTGCCATGAAAACGAGGCGTTACATCCTGACAATCTCTTAGTGTGGCTACTGCCCACTTTAGTAGGCATTCAGTGCAACACTTAAAAGCATCACTGATACAATGTTCTTGCAATATGGCACTCAAATTCCTACAAGGTTTAGACAGCTTTTGATGAACATGTTACATATGGCATAGCTGATGCAATGTTTTGGCAATCCTGCTTGAAAATCTTTTATAATGTCACCTGTAATTGTTGCGGTGACATACATTTTAAAATTTTTTCGAATGTGACAAAACATTCGGCAACATTCACACCGCTGCAGCTGAGCTGTGTCAACAATTTCTGCTTCTAGGGTTGTTGCTGCATTTTGTGTGCTTCTGCATCTTGACAAACATATGTGCTTCCTGGTGTTATTTTTTTTTTCTTAAAAATCAATCTGCACATATAGCACTTCTGGAGCTCAGAGATTACGGGATGTTTTTTGGCACATCAATTTTGTCTCAAAAAACTATTGTTTGCAGCATGAACTGCACGGTCTGTTGCAGTTTTTTGTCATAACAAAGTACAGGAATTTGATAGTCTGCTGGGTTCGAAAACACCATTTTAGCACCATTTGCCGCAGACTTTTCAAATGAATTCCAAAATAGATCTGCAAATGACAATTGGTGTTTGTTTCGAGACAGACTGAAGGAAGTTGAAGCTAACTGTATACCTAAGATAACCATCACCTCAAGGCCGAACGACCCCTGGTTTAACCACGATGTAAAAAAATGCATAAATAAGAAAAAAAGAGCTTTCAGAAAGTTTTCTCGGACAAAGACTCAAGCAGACTGGGAAAACTACAAGAACATATCACGTCTTACAGAAACAGCTATTGCTAACGCCAAAAACGAATTCTTCAACTCTATCCTTCCAAATATGCTGAAAACTGACCCAAAAAAGTTTTGGCAAGTTGTAAACCCCAAACATAATCATGCAGCTCCCTTACTTACTGAAAATGGCGTGACTTTGAGCATTATAGATAGCGCAAACAAGTTTCGTAAATGTTTTTCCGACGTTTTTACTAGAGAACACGCACTTCATGATGCTCA